TATATATATATATATATATATATATATATATATATATATATATATATATATATATGTTGAATCCTCTCAGCTTCTTTACATATTTATTTTTTTATTTTTTAAATCTGTTGGGTGAAAATCTTACGTTGACTCTTAACAACATACGGAACTCACCTTAACTAATCCAAAAAGAAAAGAAACAAAACAACCTAAATAGAAATGTCACAACCTCACATGGAGTTTGAGGTTTATGAGTTTGGAATGTCACTTACGCACTAATAATTTAAGTTAATGGATTCGAAATTTAATATTTATACTCGTATAAACCTATTTCTTTTTTAGTTCGTTCCAAAAAGAATGATTTCTTTCTAAATTTGAAAAAAAATTAACTTAAATTTCCAATTATACCCTTAACGAGAACTTTTTATAATCACACAAATACTTTGGACCCCCTTTTGACTTATTTAGGACCACAAATTTCAAAGTCTTTCATTTTTTTTCTTAAACTTCATGTTCAGTCAAACATGTTCACATATATTGAAACGGACAAAGTACTTATTAGTAAAAAAAAAATTGATACATATGTAAAGCTTGAACTACCCAAACCCAAAATGATGATCAATCCTGAACCCTCTACTCTGAGAAAGCTAAATGAAACTTCAAAAATACTTTGGAAGATTATCTTAAGTGAGAAGAAGCAGCAACAACCAAAAGAAGCTGATAATTTCTAAGTCAAAAGAAAAAGGAAAAAAAAAACTTTACACGAAAGCACATTCAAAACCCAGAAGCACATAGCAACAGAAATTATTGTTACAATCAAGAATCCCATTTCACATAATAAATGAAAAAAAAAAAACAAGAACATCATTTCACATAAAAAATGAAAGAAAAAAAAAACAAGAACCCCATTTTCTATAACAAATTAAAGGTCATAAAACAAACCTGGTTAGTGGCTGCTATGATCCCAGATCCAATTAGACTAGTAATCTTTGCCATTAATTCCCTTCAAAATTCCTTAGGAATTAATTATAATTATATATACCAAAAACCTCCTTATGTTCTTTGTTCCCTCTTTCTTCGAGCTATAAGATTTAAGTTAAACAAAAGCATGCAAAAAGTTGAAGAGAACAAAGAAAGGAAAAAACAATTGACAAGTGACAATCAATGACTCAGCTGTCTTGTTAAAATATGGTAATAATGTCATTTATATAAAGACAAAATTTTTGTAATGTCACAATTCCCTATTCATCGGACATTCAACCAATAGTTATAAATTTTTTTAAGGCTGTGATATTTTTGGGAAGGAAAAAGACCACAAGTTTACTGTTCATTGAATTTGGTCACTAATCATGGTAAAATTCTTATATATTACACAATGGCCTAAAACGCAGTTAATTTTTTGTAAAAATTGCAGGAATCCTATGTTTTTACCAATGATACTATTTTACCAATGCATGTACTTCAAAATCCTAACATAGAGACATTTCTCTCATGCATTGTATCTGGTCTTTATTGTTTTTGTACTAACACAACATCACAAAGTACAACTGACTTTTGGTTAAATTTTCATTGGATCAAATGTTTTCTCTGAACAAGCTAAATCTAAAAGATTTAAGTTATAGATTGATGATGGCGGCGACGACAACAACAACAACAAACCCTACCCTGGGATCTGGGGAGAATAGTGTGTACACAGACCCTATTCTGAAAAGACAGAAAGGTTATATAATTTCCGATAGACTGTCGGCTAAAGAAAATAAGAATGGCTAAAAAAAAAAGAAACAAAGCAGTAGCAACAAACAGTAACAATAACAACAAGATATTATAAAAATCAAAGCGAAAGATAACAATCAATAAGAATCAATTACAGACACTAATACTACAGGTAAGGGGACGAAAAGGAGAATCACTCGACTACCTACCAACTCTCTATCCTAATCCTTAACTTCCACACCCTCTTATCAAATGTCATGTCCACAGTAAGCTGAAGTTGCGTTATGTCTTGCCTAATCACCTCTCCTTAATACTTATTAGGTTTACCTCTACATCTCCTACTATCCACCAAGGCCAACCTTTCACATCTCCACGTTGGGGCCCGACATCTGTACTTTTGCTCTTCACATGTCCGAACCATCTCAGCCTCACTCTGGCATCTTATCCACGGTGGCTACTCCCATTTTTTCCCGAATATCTTCATTCTTAATGTTATCTAACATGGTATGCCAACACATCCATTTCAACATCCTTCAGCTACTTTCATCTTCTGGACATGAGAGATCTTGACAACCTCATACAACATAGTCGGTCCAATCACCCCCATATAAAACGTACCTTTAAGTTTTAGTAGTACATTCTTATCGCACAACACACCGAATGCGAGTATGCATTTCATCCATCTAGCTCCGATACGATGTATGACGAGGTGGATCCATATTGTATTGATCAGAAAATAGAATTACAAATCTAAATCAAACTCTCAAAGTAGCAACAACCAAATGAACAACTAAAAAGAGGAAAATGAAAAAGAAGAATGGATGGAGATCCCAGAGTGCTCCAACAAGAACTAAGCCAAAATAAAGAAGAGACTTCTATTTGCCTACCCCTACATTTCCATGAGCTGATAGTTATAGTAACTATAATTCCTCTCGTCCAGTAATTTCTTGACACATGTACTTCAACTTAGATCCCAATTGTAGTCCAATAACCTCTTGTTGGGCTGTTTCACATTCTGACCCATGCACAACTTATTCTCAGGCCCAAATACTTCATTGTGGTTTACCCTCGTTTGTAATAGACATCCTCATCAATCTCCCCATTATGTTATAGATTGACAATGTAAAAAAATTATATTTTCAGGATTTGGCTTTTTGGGACCATATTCCCCTCCTTAGAAGCCATTTTTCATGTAGTGGTAATCTAATCTTAATTATCAATTAATAGTTATTGTAATACGTGATCTTATTATGTAAATATTTTTTACATCATCATTTAAACTCGTCTAGAATCATGTACCGTATTTCTATTATTTTTTTTTATTTTTAGACAAGATATCCTAAATGGATTTGACTGTGAAGATCAACATTAGAAAGTTTAAGAAATTTTTGTTTATTGATTACACGTCGTAGATAAATAGGAAAGAATAAGAGAACGTGTACAAAATATTTGGTTTGATTACCCACTCAAGTATGAGTCCGGAACCAAAATGTGGTTTTTTTTTACTCAAAATACGCAAATAAGTGTTAAAAAAAAGTTACCAAACTATATATAACGCCACAAAAAGTGGCACTATACAGTAACGGTAACTGCACCGTTACTGTATAGCGCCACTTTTTGTGGTGTTATATATAGTAAAACTGACACATATTACATAGTGCCACTATTAATGACGCTATACCCCTTATTACCTGACCCCACCAATAATTTCTGGGTTCAATAATCCAAAAGCGTATAAAGGCACTTTTTGTGGCGCTATATACAAAAAAAAAAACTCTCCGGCTAGCCATTTCCTATATAAACATCGTAGAATCGCCACAACTTCATTCAAAATTTTTTTTTTAACTCTTGCNAAGCACGCGTAAGCAGGGCTTGTAAAATGCACAATGTTAAAGAGTGTCGTGAGATACAGGTATCAGAGTCAAGTCTGACGGTATACAAGGCTATTTGCCGCAGGTGGTTTTGGCCATTTAATTGGATGTTGCGTGCGTCGAAGAAGAAGACAGGTATGTGGTAAGTGGGTAAATACATTCCCACCCACACATGTGAAATGGACACTTTCAACGGGAATCACTTCAACTTGGATATTGACTTGATATCTCTTGTACTTATTCCGCATATCGAAGCGTCCATAAGGTATAAAATCAAAGAGTGCATTACAGCAGTCCACCAGGAATATGGCCACACAATTACTAAAAGAAAGGCATATCTTGGGCGCAAAAGAGCATTTGAAATAGTCTATGGTAACTGGGATAAGTCATTTGCGGATCTGCCTAGGTACATGGCTGCACTGCAACAGTTTAACCCCGGGATGGTTGTTGAATGGAAGCTTGAGCAGATTCCAGGTAAACCAGAATATACATTCAATTACATGTTCTGGGCGTTTAAACCAGCAATTGATGGTTTTTCGCATTGTCGGCCCGTAATATCCATAGACGGGACTCATGCCTATAGAAAGTACGATATCAAGCTGTTGATAGCCATGGTAGTAGATGCTAATGGACAAATATTTCCTCTAGCTTTTGCTATTTGTGCCAATGAAAGCCAAGAGACGTGGACGTTGTTTTTGAACCACTTGAAAGAGCACGTTGTCAAACAGCATTCCGGTATTTTTCTAATATCTGATCGGCACGATGGTATCTTAAGTTCTGTGGAGAACTTACCTGCATGGCAAGAACCTTATGCATACTATTGTTACTGTGTTAGGCACCTTAAAACTAATTTCCAGAAGGCACATCCCAACAAGGATCTACATGATTTGATGTGGATAGCAGCAACAGACCACCAACAGCATAAATTCCGGATGCACATGGAATATATCAAGCAAGAAGACGAGGCAGCCTATCGTTGGTTAATGTGACATGACCCTGAAAAGTGGACTTTGCATGCGGATGGTGGCAGACGATGGGGAACTCTGACTACAAATGTGTCAGAGTTTTTCAACGGGTTATTGAAATCGGCAAGAGGACTGTCTATCACAGCCATAGTGCGTATGTCATTCAAGCAGATGGCAGAGAGGTTTGTTGAAAGGTCTGCAGCTGCAATGTCATTGATGGAAAGGGGTGTTGAATTTATGCTAGTATCGATGCAGATATTTGAGAAATATAGATGGCGAGTGCATTGGCATTCATTTTTGCAGTATGATAACGAAAGAAATATTTTTGAAGTTCGCACCGCTATCCATCAAAATCGGGGTAATAATGTACATACTGTAAATGAATCTACAAGGTTATGCTCTTGTGGGAAATGGTCCATCTACCACATGCCTTGCTCACATGCCATCAAGTGCTTTCAACAAGTTGGTTTAGGTGTAACCAACTATGTTGATCAACAATATAGTGTTGCGAAGTACCTAAACACATATAGTGGGCAGTTGCAGCCAGTGGGTGCTGAGCATTATTGGCCGCCTGAACCATTTAAAATGGTGTGTAACAAGTCCTATTTGCGTCGAATACAGGTGAAGAAGAGAACGCGTATACGGAACCAAATGGAGTTTAGTGATACCGTTTATGCGCACAGATGTGGTATATGCTCGCAAACAGGACACGACCAAATGTCCTTTGGGTGGCAACAGTAATCAAGCTCGGGGTGGGTGTTCTTCTATTGTGCCTAACTATTAATGAGTTTGTGTTGTAATATTTAGTTGTTTTGTTTATGTTGCAAGATTTATAAAATAAAATTATGTTTGTTAATTATGAGTTGAATTTCTCCATTTTAGTTTTTCAATGATAATAAAAAAAATTATATATTCGGAAGAACTGGAAACAACATTGAACTTTCATAAATATGATTAATTTATGACTGTGTGTTGTCTTGTCGATCTGAAAAAGCTGCCCAACTGACATAAAGTTATTTCGTACTCGTTAGAACATTTAACACGTAAAGCATAGCGCGGGTAAATACTACGTTATGTCTATATATAGCGCGGTTAAATACTATGTTATGTGTGTGTGTTGTCTTGTCGATCTGACATAAAGTTGTTTTGTACCCGTTAGAACATTTAACACGCAAGGCATAACGTGGTTAAATATTACGTTATGTCTATATGTAGCGCGGTTAAATACTACGTTATGTGTGTTGTCTTGCCTATAAATGACGAGCTCATTCTACATATTTTCTTCGCTCAAAAATAACTAATAGCAAATCTTCCTTGAAAAGCAAGTTTTTTTAACAGAAAAATGTCTCAGCCTATTTATGTCCCAAAGTGCAAGTGCGAAAAAAAATGGCAGATGCAAAGTTGTTGGGATAATGGTGCAGTTGGACGCCGCTTCTGGGAATGTTTGAACAAGTTTTATAAGGTTCCCGGCGAACCTATTTGCGATTTTGAGGTATGGATTGATGAACCTTGTCATTAGGAATACTACAAAGGATTGTTAAACAATCTTAATGATTTGTGTTTAAAATAGTGGGAACGTGAAAAACAACTTAAAAAAGAGGTTGTGGAGTTGAAAGCGAAAC